TACAAAATAATGAAAATTTCCAATTAAAAGAAAACTTCATATTATTTCAAAATAAAAGTTTACAAGCTTATCAGAGCATATACAATTCAAAACGTTTATCTTATATGCCAACTACATTTCAAATAAAAAATACATAAAATATTGTTTTGGTCTGATATCTAGAAGGGATAAGCTAACATGTCTTGCTCCTCTAAGCTTCTCTTCTTGCTTCCCGGAACCTACGTGTGAAATACTCACACGCTAAGTCGATGACTTAGTGAGGCATATAAACTTATAATTGAAACTCTAATTTCTAATAATGCATGAACACTTAATACGAATATATCATGCACAAACATTTATCATTTTATATGACAAGTACACATATGCACATATATCATAATATTTATACTTAGTTTTATTATTAATCTTTTTATCATATGATCTTTTATTTACTAGGTGTGCACATCATATATCACATGGATCAATTCACAAAGAATCAAACATATCATCATACAGTTTCTATAATTCATCTCATATCACCTAAGCATATAAAACATATATATATAAGATATTTGTTTTTATCTCTGTCTTAGCCCATGTACACATGTGAGAACTAAAGATATGTGAGTATATTGAGGTTGTGCACATATATTGTCACCACAAATCATATAATTCCACTGAGTGGCATATGAAGTCTATGTCCCGAAGAACCTATCCATATGTCCCGAAGGACATAGATAATCCTGTCCATATGTCCCGAAGGACATAGATAATCCTGTCCATATGTCCCGAAAGACATAGGTAATCCTGTCCATATATCCCGAAGGACATAGGTAATCCTCAACTCTTGGCATGTCAACTATACCTCTAACTCTCATTACATCTAACATGGGCATTATCTTTATACTTGTCACATATTCACTTATTCATATCACATAGGCATATTCACATATACATGTAATCACGTAGTTTATTTTTGTGTAATTCATGTCATTTTTCTTATAACATTTATTATATGTTAATATAACATGTATGTCATTGTCATCTCTTGTTCACATGTGTTTCCCATATATCACATATATTTTCTCTTTCATATATCTCATGTCTTGTGATCATGTCAGCACATTAATTATTTTCATATAGCTCATATCATTTCATTCATAATCACATAATTCAATTATATCATACCAACATGCATTCACATAACTTCCTTTAAACATACTTAATCTATCATGTAACTTATTTGACTCAATCTTATTTCACATGTAGTTTCCTAACTTATCCCTGTATAGATTATATAACATAAATCAGTAATCTCATATGTCCTATAGGTAATTCCTATCTATCTTGTCTCACTTTTCCATTTACTCACATAAATCATTTATACTAGTTCACATGGTTTATTACACTATCATGAATTTATATTGATCATGCAACCTATACCCTCACATATAATTTGTATCACTTATTTCATATTATTTATATATTAAGTTAATCTATTTATTTAGTTCAATTTCACATGACTCCTATATCATAGTTTCCTTTAAGTATATAAATCTTCCATATATCACTTATCTTATAGGTTCGTATCATCTATTATGCTCAAGTCTCCTCATTAATATACTACTCTCATATTATCCTATAGTTTAATCTTATTTAACTTATCTCACTTCTCATTTAGTCATATAATTCTATTATATTGGTTCATATAATTGATCACATCACTATAAACTTGCCCAACTCATGTTCATGTTGTTTATATAGTTTTTACACATATTTACCTAGCTCATAATCACATACTTTATCTCATAATCATGTATTCATATAATCTCATAATTTATTATCATATGGTTTATAGATTGTCCTCTTATGTTCACATATATCATATAACATGCATGGTCACCTATCATATGTTCATACAATTCCTTATGTCCCTATGGTCATATACATATATATCATATCGCATAGATTCATCACCTTAACATGCATTCTCCCAAATCATGTAACAAATATAATCACATATAACACTTATGCTCATATTTATGAATTCATGCATACTATTATAAGAAGTAGACTCATTACAAGTCTTATTTTCATTAAACATCATATATTGCTAGCATACACTCACCTGACCTCATTAGTCAATACCGTTCTCTTATCTTTTTCTCGATGCCTAATACTTGTCGACTTGTCCAAACTTTGCTCTCGGTCGATATCTACACAATAATACATATTATATACATATCAACATTCCAGTTATCATAATTCGATCCTTAATTTCTTAGACCAAAAGAAAGGCTTAATTTCATTTCCACTTGGAGTAGTATCGATAGGTATCGGTACCATTCCTAGGTATCGATACCCATATTGCATTATGTAATTCTTGTTTCAAAGTTGGTATCGATACCGTCCTTATGGTATCAGTACCCCTAGGTATCGATAATGTTCTTCAGGTATCAATACCTCATTAATGCAATCCCTATTTTACTCTTGAAGTATAGATACCTAATGAAGCAGTACCGATACCCATTGCTCAGATTTCCTTTTTAAGCCCGAAAATTCACTCTTATTAGCTTAAACACTTCATGTTTTAATCTTTTTCATACTCTTAACTCAAGTACACATACTTAAACCAATTTTATTCATTCAACACATCCTTAACCTCAAACTCCCCTCTTCCATATGGAAACCAATAATCAAACCAAATTCTCAACATGTTCTAATTTCAATTATATCACTCCATATCTCTTAATTCCACCATTGAGAAGTCAAATTAGTTTCCAATTCTACTTATCAACTATTTTCCAAGATTTCATTTAAAAACTCCTCACTTTTAATCTCTCATAACTCCTTCATTCTTTGATTTAAAGTTAACTTAAGCTTTCCTTAAGCTTAAGTATCACCTAAGGATCATAAACAACCCTTAAATTCAACAATAATCTACTAACAAGAAAACTCACCTTTGCTCTTAAATTTCACGGCTGAAGAAGATGAAGAAGAGAATTCTCTGGAATAACTTTTCCTTAATCCTCCATTTCCCACGTGTATATAACATAACCCATACCAATAGTTAATTCATTAAATGATCAAATGAACATTTTGCCCTTTTATTCTTCCTTTTTTGATATTTAATCCTATATAAAATTTATAAAATAAGTCCCTGTACTATTCAATTTATCTACTTTGATCGCTAAATTCTAAGTTTTATAATTTGGTCACTAACCCTGATTTTGGAATGTTATAGCATATCAATGATCTAGATATTCAGTGTTAGTTTTGAACCAAAACCATCTAATTTTCTTTCTTTCTTCTTAATTAAAACTTTTAGTACTCTTTATGAAAGATATTCAGTCCATCAGAATAGAAGTGAAATAGGGTCTTAGGCTAAATTTTTTGTATCTTCTTGTTTGGTTTTTCTTTAAATCAGGGAATTGGTTGTGAGTATCGATATAGTGAAATCGCCAGACTCAATCTGAGAGACTGTTGGTACTAGTTTACTAGAATTGTATTGATATGACCTGTGGTTTTCGGTGTCCTATCAGCTCGTATTCATTTTAATAAGTTCATGTTGATTATGGGACTGATATATCGTGAACGAATTAATTTTTTTAAATGTTTTGGAAATTTTACAGTTGAATTGTATTGAATTATAGCTTTAGAAGACAATTATGCATATACACAACTCAAAAGGCATCATGACAGGGTAGTATATTTGGAGCAGCTGCTTGACCATGCCATGATGCCTTTCGAGTTGCGAAAGAGACTGAGAGGTGAATGCGATGTTTGGAATTTCATTATATTTGATCATCTGTTGGAAAATCTTTAAGCACAAGGATTAAATGAAGAAATTATTATATGTCATTTATACAAAATAATTCCAACTTTGTTGGTGACTTTCAACAATGATACTTAGTTCGTCTTAGTAGTATTTGTCAACTCTGCATTTCTAACCCCATTTTTTTCTCAAAAGCATTTCATCGAACATCTATGCTTCACCTGAGATGACTTGTATCTAACATTACACCTTGAATCGTTGATGGTCTAAATAGTCCCTTGGTTGGGTCTTCTCTCAATGGACCTTTATTCAAGTCAACACCTCCACATAATTCAAAGTTAGATTAGAATTTCCCATGCATCCTCGATTGAAAAGTTACGCTGGAAATGAGAAGAGAGAAGCGGAAAAGGAAATTCGAGATCAAAAAGGAATTTGATGTTTAAAATGAAATTTAGGACTGTGTTGCAAGTTTTAAAAGTTGGGGGACCTAAATGCTAGCTCCTGAAAAGTTCAGTGACCTTATTACAAACGTACTAACGGCAGTGTAACGGCGTCAAACGGTCGATTACGTCGGGGACCATATTGCAAATAGACTAAATGTTGGGGGACCATATTGCAAACTGACTAAATGTTGGGGGACTGTATTGCAAGTTTTAAAAGTTTGAGGACCTAAATGAAAGATTTAGAAAAGTTCAATGACTATTATTATACTTTACCCTAAAATTTATTGAGTTCGCGTAGCTCCTCCTGCAAGGTGTGTCTGCGTTTTTAATGGTTAATAAAAAAAATTCAACCGATACTACATTATAATCAAAATGAAATTAAAATAAATAATCACTTCATATTATTTAAAAAATATATAAATAATTATTACTATTAATTTGTGTAAAATAAATCTGAATGAAATCAAAACATAAATTTAAGATCGCTTTCCGGCGAAGCCTAATTGGCGTGTTTATCTTATCAATGAGTTTGTCAATTTCATTTAATATTCTTGGAATATTATGATTATTGTTGTTTGTTCTTTCTCCTTGTGATGGAGACATGAGAGTGTTCGAGTGTTGTGATTTTCTCTGATTTTGACGCTAAACAATCCCCAGCACATTTAATTTCTTTTATCCTCTAATGCCGGTTTTCCAAGATTCACACACATTATGGTACGTTATTTGGCCTCTCTCTCACGTTACTGAAATCCATCATCTGTCAGTTCCCGCAGCTTTATATTAACAGATCTGTTTCCTTCGTGGGTCCGTTATCAGTAGAAAACCGCGAGAACCAGATTTTTCAGCCATTATTTTTTCTTGATTAGTTCAACGAGAATCAGAGGCATTTCAAAATTCAACGTGAAGATGGAGATGCATATTGAGTTTGTGCTCTGTTTACTCTTAGTGTTCGCGCCATGGAGCATTTACTCCGACGAACGACTATTCGTTGGCATGACTCTGGTTCCAGACGCCGCGGCTCGTGGCGCCGGTAGCTGGATTATCGCTTCTGATTATAAGCTTTTAAAGATTTGAGTGAATGTTCTTTATGTTTTTTTGGCGGTAATCTATTTGATTTATTAATTGTGGCAGTTTGTTTGGATGGAAGTTTGCCCGCGTATCATCTGCACAGAGGATTCGGCGCTGGATCGAACAACTGGATTCTACAGTTTGAGGTAATCACTGAGCTCATCCTTACTAGTATAATTAGCTAGTATTTGTTGAAATAGGATGATAAAATTTAAATTGCAATTTCATCGTAGATTTCGCTTCAAGATGATTAGACTAGTTTCGATGCATTGGAAAATCCAATACCAAAATAATTTGATGCTGTTTTTGAAACCTGGGGTCTCGTGCTATTCGCTTTTATGGTTTTTTTCCCTTTCTCTCTTTTAGTTTTAGAGCGGACCACCAGTGAAATCGGCTGGGTGGACGCTAACTATAGGTCAAATTTGTCAGACAAAGTTACTATCATTCCATTCAAGACTAGCAAAAGGAGTAAAAAAATATAATAAATAATTCAGTTCCAGATTTAGTTGAGTAAAAGGTATGAATTGAAAGGGTATGAACTGCATGCGAGCGTGATTAAGAAAAGTAATTGGCTCATTTGCGGCCATTAATCAAATGCTAACTATCATTGTGATTATCTTATGCTATTGCTTAGATTTCATGAACATTGACTATTATTAGAGTAAAACCTTCAGTGAGTCTCCGCTTAAACTAATTAAATCTATCAAATTAAGTCGCTTTTTCAATTTTGAATAAATTTAGGATATGCCTTATGTGTTAGACCAACATGTCGTATAATATAATTGAATCATAGAAAGTATGCACTACAATTTTTTTTAAATGATTTGGGGTAGCTAGACATGGCGCTTTTATACGTATCGTCCTAGGATGAGTTAGATCGCCATATCGTCCATTTTGTGATATCTATAATCATATTTTTGATGTTTTATTCTTAAATAAATATTTGTGTATGTTTCTAATAAAAATGATTATTTAGCTTAATAACAAATATATATGATTTGTATTTGATTGAAATCGCACAACACCATTTTATTAATAAGTCATAAGCTAAATAGCAATTGTTATGTTATTTTTATCATCATGTTATGTAACTTATTTCACTATCGAAATGTTAGATTTAAATATGTTTAGGTTTAAAAATGTTGGGTTAAAAAATGGCTGTTTTATGGTTCCATAAAACAAATTAAAGTTGCATGCAATAAAATGATAAAGTCTATTCAAAAGCCCAAGCGTTGAGCCTAAAGAAGCACAATGTCGGAAGATTAACGGGATGGTCACTTGGTCAGTACCGGTAGTTGTGTGACATGTTCTTGGGAATATTAATTACTCTGAATCATAAATTTTATTCCATTTATACTATAATCTGTTCATCAGAGTGGTGGTTGGTGTAATGATATGTCATCGTGCCTGGAAAGAGCCAACACCCGCCGTGGATCAACCCGTTACATGAGCAAGTTTGCAGTCTTCTCTGGCATCTTAAGCAACAATGCCTCCCTAAATCCAGGTGCATTTCACATCCTATTTCTCATTTCCCATATTAATTGACTCAGAGTCTTTTTACTACGTGATGTGAATCTGATCCATAATTTTTTGAACTAATTAGAAGCTTTTATATAGAGTGTTGATAATGCAAAAGGACTATATCCCACATTAAATGATTTTTAGTTTTTCAACAATATATATAGTTTTGTACTTATTTTTATTAAATGATTTAAAATATGATCCACATACGTGTGTCATTGCTGCTATCTGTGATGTGTGTGTTCTGTTTTAGACACTGTTTCTATCTGTTGCATTTTATTCCTATTCTCATGACAGTCATTTTTCTTACATAGAGTACATGATTTTAGATCAATCAGACCTACAAAATGGATAGCAAAATATATGGGTTCGGTACATGTGTCCACATTTAAGCCGCTGGGTCTTATGATTGATTAATGGGGATATTTTAGCTTCATGTGACGTTGGTATTTTTGTCATACTCATGTACAGATGTATCAAATAAAAACTTTTGTTTGATATATTTATCCCTCATTTTTCTGTTAGAAAAAAAAAGCCTTTATTCATAATTAAAAAAATCAAAAAAATTTTAAAAAATTTAATGACTAGTCAGACCCCTTTAATATCCTCGACCAATCATTACAGTACTGTTTTGAACCGGATATCTAGTATAGACCTTTGTTTGAAAAAAGGGTCATCCATTTTCCGGTAATCATGCAGACATGCCAATGTTATCGTTTCGATTAATTTATAGGTTGCGGCTAAGTAGCACTTGGCCTCTTCCAGATTTATTTTATTTTTGAAGTTCTCGATCCTTGATGGCACCACCGGGTTCTCTTCCAGGCTTTGTTTCATTGCTCTTGGGTTTGTCGTCTTGGTCTATGGTAAATTACATATATAACCTTGCATGTTGGTTCCAATTCGTTATGATCATGGTTTTCAGAACCGGACCGGTTAGCGAACCGGCTATGTTACCGGTTCATTGGTTCAACCGATCGAACTGGTCCGATCGGTCGGAAGAATCGGACAACGTCATAATTATTTAAAAAATTAAATAAAAATACCAAAAATATTTAATAAAAAATAATTTTTTATATCACAAGTTATATTCAAAGCAAGTCATAACATATATAAGTTAAAAAAACATAAAATCAAATTAAACAAAATATTCAAATTAACTACAACATAATATTTAAGGTAAAACATATTAAATAATAAATATAATTATATAACTATAATTAAAAAATAAATTTGGGGCTAAAAAAGCATAACAAAATGATATTGTTTGGTTTATTTTTTTTTAATAAAAAACAATCCCACATGGCTAAGAAACATAGAAGAACATCCCAGAAGTGAGTAAAAATATGAGAACAAAACAATTACATATGGTTAAGAAACATAGAAGAGCATCCAACTAACTTCTATAAATAATAGATGTAATTTAGCATTCAAAATCATGGAGCCTTTTGGTGAGCATAGAGTGAACTATTCTTTCACTTCAATCAAGCTCGAATTTTAGGCTTCAATCGAGCTTCTAATTTTTTTTTTTGAGTTCGAGCCTTTTCGAGTTCAAGTTTCAATATTATATTTCGAGTTCGAGTTGAACTTGATAATTTTTAGCTCGTGAGTTTGAGTTGAGTTGAGCTTACTTTTAAAGTTTTTAAGTTCGAGTCGAGCTTAGCAATACTCGAGTTCGACTCGGCTCGTTTAACAAACGATGTCGATTGGTTTAATTTTTTTAAAAAAAAATTGGCGGTTCAACCAATTCACGGTCCGGTCTAGTTCGAACGATTCAGCGGTTCTGTCCGATTCAGTAGTAACGGTTTAACCGGACTATAATGAACCGGATCAGATAGCGATTTCCGATTGAACCGGTTAAACTAACCGATCCGATCCGGTTTTTAAAACACTGGTCATGATTCCTAGATTTTGACCTCCCAACAAATCGGTGGGTAGAAAGGTTTGGTTGAGTACTGGAATCTTGTTTGTTTCTCTTCATATTTGACACGCGCATCATATTTTATATAATGTTTCTCCAACTGCCAACTACACGACTGTGGTGGAAATGGGAAGGAACAGCTGTTGTTCCTTGCCTAAAGTAGACATGTCCTTAGCGTGTTGAATGCAAACTACGATAATGAAAAATGAAAACTTCAGTACTTCACCTGGGGATGGACGGTTGGGTTGGATTGGGTAGTGTCGGATTTTTTGTCTCAACCCGAAAATTATATACTTTCCACCAGAATTCGACCCGACTCGAAAATCATATACTTTTCACTAGTACCCGACCCGACCCGAAAAGTACACACCCTTCACCCAACTAGAATCCGACTCGATTTTTTGAGATAAAATCCGAACTCAACCAGACCCAATCCGAAATAATATATTTATTAAAGGAATATTATTTTTATTTAATAAAAATAGAGATTTAATTAAATAATAGGGTAAAGTATAGTAATGGTCACTGAACATTTCTGAAGCTTGCATTTAGGTCCCAACTTTTAAAACTTGCAATACAGTCCCCCAATATTTATTCCGTTTGCAATATATGTATGTATGTATGTATGTATGTATGTATGTATGTATGTATGTATGTATGTATGTATGTATGTATGTATGTATGTATGTATGTATGTATGTATGTATGTATGTATGTATGTATGTATGTATGTATGTATGTATGTATGTATGTATGTATGTATGTATGTATGTATGTATGTATGTATGTATGTATGTATGTATGTATGTATGTATGTATGTATGTATGTATGTATGTATGTATGTATGTATGTATGTATGTATGTATGTATGTATGTATGTATGTATGTATGTATGTATGTATGTATGTATGTATGTATGTATGTATGTATGTATGTATGTATGTATGTATGTATGTATGTATGTATGTATGTATGTATGTATGTATGTATGTATGTATGTATGTATGTATGTATGTATGTATGTATGTATGTATGTATGTATGTATGTATGTATGTATGTATGTATGTATGTATATGTATGTATGTATGTATGTATGTATGTATGTATGTATGTATGTATGTATGTATGTATGTATGTATGTATGTATGTATGTATGTATGTATGTATGTATGTAGTATGTATGTATGTATGTATGTATGTATGTATGTATGTATGTATGTATGTATGTATGTATGTATGTATGTATGTATGTATGTATGTATGTATGTATGTATGTATGTATGTATGTATGTATGTATGTATGTATGTATGTATGTATGTATGTATGTATGTATGTATGTATGTATGTATGTATGTATGTATGTATGTATGTATGTATGTATGTATGTATGTATGTATGTATGTATGTATGTATGTATGTATGTATGTATGCATGCATGCATGCATGCATGCATGCATGCATGCATGCATGCATGCATGCATGCATGCATGCATGCATGCATGCATGCATGCATGCATGCATGCATGTATGTATGTATGTATGTATGTATGTATGTATGTATGTATGTATGTATGTATGTATGTATGTATGTATGTATGTATGTATGTATGTATGTATGTATGTATGTATGTATGTATGTATGTATGTATGTATGTATGTATGTATGTATGTATGTATGTATGTATGTATGTATGTATGTATGTATGTATGTATGTATGTATGTATGTATGTATGTATGTATGTATGTATGTATGTATGTATGTATGTATGTATGTATGTATGTATGTATGTATGTATGTATGTATGTATGTATGTATGTATGTATGTATGTATGTATGTATATGTATGTATGTATATATGTATGTATGTATGTATGTATGTATGTATGTATGTATGTATGTATGTATGTATGTATGTATGTATGTATGTATGTATGTATGTATGTAGTATGTATGTATGTATGTATGTATGTATGTATGTATGTATGTATGTATGTATGTATGTATGTATGTATGTATGTATGTATGTATGTATGTATGTATGTATGTATGTATGTATGTATGTATGTATGTATGTATGTATGTATGTATGTATGTATGTATGTATGTATGTATGTATGTATGTATGTATGTATGTATGTATGTATGTATGTATGTATGTATGTATGCATGTATGTATGTATGCATGTATGCACACTCATATCCTACACTCATTCAATCGGAGAAAGTAAACTAAGTTTTGCGAAGCCATTGTCCTACATTTTCCCATAGTTTCTTACATGATGAAGAATTTTTTTGATGATGTTTGATACTTGACTCTTTATCATACATGTCTTTGTCCTAGTTTTCTGATTTCACATGTGGAAACCTGAAAATGGCGTTACAGACCATTGCAGAAGCAGTTGGAGATTGTTACTTTGGCAGAAAAATAGCCAAAGAGATCGACTGCCCATATCCATGCGATAAAACTTGCCACAACCTTATACCGTCACAACAGGTAATGTTTCGGCACACCTACAATCTTGTTTACAGGACTTATATTTGGTAAAAAAGTATCAGCCGTTGCCATTGAAATGCATTTGCAGGTTTCACCGAGATAGATGATTCTTTCTATACTTGCGACAAATTATTCAGTACAGTACTTCATACAAATGTAAAAAATTGGACCGATGGTTCAACTGATCAGATCATTGATTCTTTGTTCAATCAATTTGATCTGTTGAACCTCGGGTTTGACAATAATTGATTAAAGAAGTAATTACAGAATTATAAAATTTCTAAAATCGGTTCAACCGTCGAACAATCCGTTGTTTGACTTTGATTTTTAGTTTCTTAACCGTTGACATAATTTTAGATTACTCCACCAGTTTAAAGAAACAAGAAGAATGAATACTTTTACTGAGGATAAAGAAAGAAAGAAAGAATTAATACAATGTATTAAGGTGTTAAAGGCCTAGAGGGTTTGAACTAGGAGGGGCAGTCCATATCTAGGCCTTAGGGAAAGCAAAATAGAAGGTGAATGTCTATAACTTGGTGAAAGTGAGAAAGAAAACCTATTGAGCATAAGGGTTAACACAACTTTGTACTCCATCATTGTCAAATTCCTCCCTACACACATCCTCCCTCCGAATCCGAACGGCAAGAATCCCATCTTGTGCTTGCACCCGCCGTATAGATGATCGTCTTTAAACCTGTCTGGTTGGAACTCGTTAACGTCATCGCCCCATATCTCCGGATCATGGTGCATGGCCACAACGTCGATCCAAATGTTGGTTCCATTAGGAATAACCAGATCATCCACTTTGATATCTTCTCTCGCTTGCCTTTGTGCGTTTGGTGCCGGTGAGTAGAGTCTTAGCACTTCCTTCATCACACATTCCATCTGCAAGTCATGGAAACATGTACGGCAAATACAAAATCATTAGGAAATTGTCGTCAGGGATGGATCGAGAGGTGTTTGGGGTGCAGACATCTAATAGGTTTATTTAAATATTTTCTTTATTTTTTGTTGATGATCTAATTTCGTATTTTTAAGAATTTTATGATTTTATATCCCATAAATTCCTAAAATAATTTCTTAAATTCACACTGCAATAAAAAAAATCACATATATATTCCTAAATGACAGTAGCCACAGCCGAAGAAATCAAAAGGACTTGGTTTGTTTTCCACACGTGAGTTGATGACACGCCTCCCATATGGTTCAACATTGACAATTGACTTGTGTTTTTGAATTTTCCCACCATGAAAATTCTCATATTACGACTCGAGAAACATGTGTACTTGAAAATTAATCAAGAAATTGGATGGAAATGAAGGAAAAGAAAAGGAGAGTACTAATATAAAGCAATATACTTGGGTCAAATTATGGTTTAAATCTATCACTAATTTAATAAATCGGATCTCTACATTTTTTATAGCGTTGTTTAGTTTAAACAATTAAACATCGTTATTTATTCCTGTTTAAAATATCAGCATGAATTTTTTTTAGAAACAATCTTTCCAGCATAAAAGAATCGTGTTGTCTGTATGATGATTTAAAATGAGGGATGAAGGCACGTTGCAGGTGGAAGGAGATGGTTTGATTTTATTTTAAGTCATTAATAGTTTTGAAACTATTGAATTAAGCCCTAACCCCTTCCGATTTTTTTGTTTAATTATTTTTAAGACCCTGTCATTTTTAATATTAATTAAAATAGTAAAATTAGAACTAGTAAACTTCCTCAATTTTTATAGTTTAATTATTTTTAAGACCCTATTTGTTTTAAATTTAAGTAATTTAGCCCCTTCACAGTTTAATCTTGGCTTTGTCCCTAAAAAGGAATGTTTTCATTTTACTTGAAAAAATCTAGTGCCCACTACCTGGAATAACTAATGATATCATGAATGTTAAGAACAAATAATGACGAATTAATCTATAGGGATTAAATTATAAAGCTGAAGAATTAAAAACGTAATTTGGTCAGATATTTACCTTCTTTAAGCCAGCAAGCTTGGCGAAATCGATCTCGTCATCTCCAATCACTTGTCTAATTTCGTCCCTCAATTGGTTTTGCCACTCCGGATACATGGCCAAAAGCAGCAACGTCCAAGTGAGTGCCAACGCCGTCGTTTCATGTCCACCGAAGAAGAAAGTCTTGCACTCATCGACGAGCTCCCTCGCCGTCAAGCTCTTCCCGACCCTGCCAGCGACATGGCTGCCGTCCATCAATAAACCGAGCAAGTCCTTCGGAGGAGACGATCCGTCCCAACAATTCTTTCGACCGTCGATGATGGATAAAAGCAGTTGGTCGATCTCTTTGCCGAGTCTCTTGGCCTCTAGGTTTTTCCTAGGGCACATCCATTTGCTAAATGGCACACCCACGTAACGGTTTGAGTTGAAAAGGGTGATTTGCATGGCTCTTAATTTTTCGAACACTTTGCTCCCGTTTTGGTAGCTTAACCCGAAGCTAGTCCTTGCAATGATTTCCCCCGCCGTCGTCGTGATCTCTCGTTCGACGTCGATTTCGGGTTTGCCAGAGTTTATTAGGGCTGCCCACCTGTCTAGCATCTTTGTTGCCGGTTCCACCATTAAGCTTGCCATAGCCTGCGTTATCGAAACAAAATATATTTTATCAACGTCGACGTTACCATATGTAGTAAGTATACTACCATCATTTTCAATGAATTACGATGAAAATAGTTTTTTTAAATGATTTATCATCATTCGTTCACTACGTATATTACATATAATATAGGGTAAAGTATACAAAAATCACTAAACTATGTTAAAATAACTGAATTTTTAAAAATTATAAAATGATTATTAGATTCATTGAATTGTTACAAAATTGTCATTGTGCTATTATAACTAATGGTAAATTCAATAAATTTAAGGGTAAAGTAAATCATAAGTTACTAAACTATGCATAAATGATTATTTTGATAATTGAACTTTTAAAAGTTACAAAATGGTCATTAATATTTTTGAACGGTGACAAAATTATCATTAAATTTATTGAATTGTTGCAACTAGTCATTAAATTTTATCAAAATGTTACATAATCATCGTTGAATTTATTAACTTTTACAATTTATTATAACATTGCAGTGAGCATTTTGTAACAGTTCAATAAGTTTAATAACCATTCTATAATTTTTAAAAGCTTAATGATCAAAACAATCACTCAAATGTCGTTGACTGGCCTCTAGTATACTTTACCCTAAATTTAAACTCAATTCTGTAAAATTGTGATAAAATTTAATGAGCATTTTAAGTAGTTCAATACATTTAGTAATGATTTTATAATCGTTTTAAAATTTTTACGATTCATTATAAATTTTTTTTGAAAGTTTAATGATCGAAACTATTATTTTAATATAATTTAGTAATTTCTAATATACTTATCATGGGTGAATGCATTTGGCCCATAAGGGGTCAGGTGTATGCATATTATTTTGGATAAATTATTAAATATAATTCAATATATTAAGAGAATGAGAAAAAATATCATTTTATTCGAAAAAAGAATATTAAAATTTTTCGACCTTCATTTTTTAATTTTTGTATGGCTAATACTTACTATTATAATTTATTCGTAATATTTGATTTTAGTGTGTGGTGTAAGAGAAATAAGAGAGAGACCTTCAAGTTAGATGGAGAGAATGCAGGAGTAATAACATGGCGATGACGAACCCAGTCATCTCCTTCGACCATCACCAACCCACTTCCGAACATGGGCTCCCTATCCTTTTTAAACACTCTGGGCTTTCCCCAGCTCTTTCCCAACACTCCCGATGACATTTTTCTCAGGAACTCTGCCTCTCCCACGTACAAAAATGGCTCCGTCCCCAGCCAATAAATAAACAATTTTCCTGCAATACAAACACCCAGTCACAAGCGTTACTCTTAAGGGTTCCTTCTCATTCTTTTTTTAGATGGGAAATACTTACCATATGATTTCTGCCAACGAGCAAAGTAAGGAAACACAGTGCGGTGTATATCATGTGAAATAGCAGAGGATCCAAGTTCAACACGATCCGTACTATTATTTCTCATCTCTCTAATATTTCCCACGGGAAAGCTTGGAGTTGGACCCACAAACCCATTCTTCTTTATCCTGCGGTAAGCTCCAATGGGAATAATCCAGCAAGAGAATACCAATGTCAAGAACAAATAAAGCAGAAAACCCAGCATGGCCAAGCTCAACAACATGGAAAACACCATTGCTAAGGCTCAAGATAATTACGACAATGAGCTACTGTTGTTTTTGTTTAGGAGATATGAAGTGGTGGTATTTATAGCAGAGGACAAGTAGTGGGGAATTCAAGAATGTCGGATTGTTGACTGTTTGTGCTCCAACCCTTTTCAATTCTTTGATCTTCACGTTGAATTCCAGTCCTTGCTATGGTTTTCTTTTCAAATATATTGGCTCTTGGTCTTTGAGTTTTGCAATTTGATTTGAATTTATTTTAGTATTTTATTATATAATCATTTGAAAAATATTAAATGACATAATTAAATGAAAATTTTATATTTGATTTATTGATAATGTATATATTTAAATACGTAAATCATATGAAATCATAAGATAAATAAATAAATAAAGATAAAAGATAATAAAATTTATGGTAAAACACATCATAGGTATTTTAAATTATCATTCTAATCATTAAATTTTTAATAGATAAAATAATCATTAAATTTATTGAATTGTAACAAAATTATCGACATTATATTGAAAATTTTGTAGCAGAAAATATTATTTTAGCATAATTTATTAACCTCTTAGATAAATTATTTTAAACTTCATATATACTTTCTTGTCTAATGTACACAAATGTTACTATACTATGTTAAAATTATCTTTTTGATGGAGTTTCAAAAGGTACAAAATAATTATTTAATTAGTCACTATTACTACAGTGAAACAGGTATACACTGGCACTTATAGAGATAAAATTAACGGCGTTTTTGAACAAACATTACTAAAGACTCATATTTTAATGGCGTTTTTTAGTTAAACGACGCTATAGACTCACATTTTAGTGGTGTTTTTGAATAAACGCTGCTAAAGACTCATACTTGTGGCGTTTCTGAATAAACGCCGTAATAAGACACATATATAATGGTATTTTTAAAAAAATGCTGCAACAGATACTTTAATGACGTTTAAACGCCATAATTTATCAGTAAATTACTGGCGTTTGTATTTACAAACACCGCAGGTTTTGCGTTACTAAGTCCCACACACCCTTTAACCCTTTTTTATTTTTTTTTCTTTCCACCTATTTTTTCATTCCCGTCGTTTACCCAAACTCATCTATTGCTTCTTCTCCGAAACTGCTGATTCACAAGGCTTGAGGGCTTCACTGCCAGACAACACCACCCATCGCAAGTATTGAGGGCTTCATTGTCGGACAACATCATTATCGGAAGCATTTTTTGAAGTCCCCAAATTTAGGTCTCGCCAATCCAAAGGTACGAGGTATTTCTCCAAATCAACCAAATTCACTCGTTTCATATCTTTGTAATCTCTCTCTTTATTCTTCTTTTGTTTTCATTACTTTTGCGCAACAACATGCGGAGGATCTGGTTTCCCTTGAAAATTCCATCGAATGGATTTTTGATGAATATGGTTTATTAGAAGACATTCGTATCCCTGGTGGCGATCTTCACTCGCTTGACCCTTCAGCCCCAATTTGGTCCTCTAATCCTCTTAGGTCCCACTTTTCACTTGACTCGATTTTATAAAGATTTGAGATTATTTCTTTCTTGATATTATGCAAAGGAATTAGAGTATTGATTAATATTGAATGCTTTTTTGTTTTAAATAAAACGACAAATATTGAATGCTTTTTTGTTTTAAATAAAACGACAGATGGTGTAATAATTGAGGTTTAAAAAGTATTCCTGGGTAACTATGGGAAACAATGGGATGGAAGGGAAGCAAAAAAAAAAACAATAGGAAAAACGCCATTGGAAGTTACTGCGATTACTGTTGAAGAGTATGGATTTCCTTCTGGAAATGATGAATTTCTTGCAGAAATGTATTCAGTATTCTCTGCCCAGTAAGTCAGGTTTTATGTTATTGTTGTTAGCTACTTCAACATTTGAGTAGTCATTGGTGTGCAAATGGCATTAGCTTCAAACTCCCATAGGGGAAATATTGAATCTAAAATTTATTATCACCAAGGTCGGAAAGACTGTTTCTCTGTCATTGTTGGCGGTGATGAAGTTTCATCAGGGAAGCCATGTCCTGAAATTTGAGTTGCTTCAGTATATGGTCTGCAGTTCTGTTAGATTTATTTTATCTAATATGAACATAAAATTCTAAATTCTTTTTTCCTTATCCAAGTCTAACACTCTCTATTTCCTATTAAAGATTCATGGAAGCTGCTACATGGCTAAATAGAGAACCTTTAAAGCTGCCTAGTCATTGAAGATTATATGCAAGTGACCTCCGTTTTTATTCAAGTATCCTGTTTAATATGTTTTACCATATGACAATTCACGATTTGCTTGAATTAGTGGAGTACAAATCTGTCAAATTGGTTTTTAATCCTTTGCTTGTTGTTGGCTTCTTCAGATTTGTTGATTGAATTAGTTCACATTATTGAATTAGTGGAGTAGAAATCTGTTAGAATGGTGTTTAATTCTTTTCTTGCTGGGTATATTAGATTTCAATTGCCTCTGCCATTTGGCTGCCTCAAAACAGAAATATTTTGGTTCTTTGGGGATAAATTAGCTGCAGGACAATAGAAAGCTTTAATAAGTATTGTGTTCTTTATGAACTGGATTGTATTAAGCTCGACTTGTGTTCCTTTGCTTTGCTTGTTATTTAAAGAAAATTTTCATATAATAACTAAAAAGGGGTTTAATTAATATATTAAAATTATTGCTCATGCCCACCTCTGTAGTTTATTCACTAATATGTTCTCTAATAACTTCTGCTTCTGGTATAGACATCTTCCACTACTAGAACATTTCACAATCACGATGGTCAAGTGGTAAATCATATCAAGTGTGATAGAGACAATAGTATAGTTTCTTCTTTCTCATTAAAGACATGGAATATGAATTCTCAATCAAGTTTTTCCAGTATTGAAGATCAAGTGATTTCCTTCTATTTCAGTTCTACTTTGTCCATAAAGATATCGGTAACCAAAATGCAGATGGAGCTTTGGATGTAGCGAGAAGTTGGGAAAGGTTGCCATTGGAAATCAGAGGCATAAGTGGGAAGCATGAAAATACACATGCAACTAGTTTGCTTTTTTGTTTCTAGTATATGTAACCCATACATATAAATTTGTGTGTATTTTTATGAAATTAATGCTTTCAACTCTTTTAGTTTCAAGTGACTTGTTTTTATTTAATATATAGAATATATGCTTTGATTTGTAGAATTAATTCTTATTGTGGGTGTAAAAATTGTCTTGAATGGTGTTTTATGCAACTCATGCAGGTGCTCCTAATAGTTCCATTTGCGGCGTTTTCATAGACAAACACCACTAAATACATAGTCAATAGCCGCGTTTGTGGTAAAAACGCCACTATATATCAAAACATATAGTGGCGTTTTGAAAAAATACGTCGCTATATGTCACGACCTATTACAGCGTTTTTTTTCACAAACATCGCTAACGGTTGCGGAGTTTGTTAGCGGCACTTTTTGTGTTGTTTTTTTCAAGCGCCAAGAAAGATTTTAGCAGCGCTTAAAAACGCCACTAAAACTAATTTTTTTGTAGTGTATATAAATATATATTATAAAATAATAAATATGGATAATTATTTTATAATTTTTTAAACTTTAATAACTAAAAAGATTATTTTAATATAATTCAGGGATATGGATAAGTTAATGGGTTAGATAATGGATTCGAAGCCGCTCCCCCAGGTCAAGACTTAATGGGTAATCGAACTCCCATGAATTTCTAGGAAAGCTTAACCCCCGAGTCAAAGCTTAATTAAAATTAAATATGCTAAATAAAAGCTCATGTGAAAAACAATTAAACTTATGGGACCCTAATTAATTATTTAAATACTTTAGAAAGATCTAATTGCATTAGGCATCCGAAAAAATATAACTTATATTTTGAATTAATTTTCCGACTTTGAAATATCTTAACCGAATCTTCAAATTATCAATACTGTTTCAATCATACTATTGCATTAGTAAAATTCTTATTTTTGATAGTTAAATTTTAATGACATTGTTGTCTGTTTTTACATGCTAAGTTTGTATTACCAGTGTAATATATTATGTGTTTTTAAAATTTGATCCATGTATTTTAAATGAATTTCACTTCGAATTTGAGATGAAGTTTATTGTTCAAACATTTTATTAGATAGACGAAAAGATTCAATTACTTGATTAAAATATTTTAAAATTTGAGGTCGGTTCAAATTATTCGAGCATATTATAAAGATATTAGATACAATGAGTTCTTAAGGAAATTTTATTTGATACAATGAGTTCTTAAGGGAAATTTATTATTAAATATGTTATTAATACAATTCTCAATGTTTGAAACGTGACTAATGTTATAAATTTTCTATCGTTAGCAATGGTGGCTACGTAGTTAAAGGTGAACCAATCCTCCCCCCCCCCCTGGAATAAGGCTTTTTGCAGCTATGATGGCTTTTGGATTTATAAATATCACATTAACAAAATATATTAATTATGAGATTTTAGTGAATATGTGCATATATTATATATAAGCACAAGATATGTAAATAAATTTGTGATAGAGCCCTATTATACAATGTAAAATTCTTTTAATTTTATATAAATTTATGACAGTTAAATTAACAATAAAAATGATAAGATATTCACTGGAAAAAAAAAACAAGGATTTAATCTCATTCTTCACTCATTTAACAATTATAAATCTATTTCACTTAAATCGTATAAAATTCATTAAATATACACGAAAAATATCATCATTTGATGGATATAAATGGATGATTGAGATTAAAGTTTATAATTTTATTTTTTGTAGAAATAAAAAAAATAATAATGTTAATGAGTTTTATACAATTGTCATGCTCCCACGTAAAAAAAATTACACATTATATTAGAGATATCTTTTAAGAAGATGATAATGACTTATATGTATAGGGTGAGTATTTAAATAAGATAATACTACAAAGGTATAATCTTTTAAAAATTTAAAGTGTTTTTTCGACAATTTCAAAAAATTTAAATTCTTATACGAAAAGTCCTTAAAAATTTAAATCTTATTTAAAGATTTAACGATATATATTAAGGTGATGGAAGGATCAGTGGTAGCCATCACTAAAAAAAAGTAGGATGCAATTTGCAATAAAATAGTGATCAATCATCAAAGTTAGAGGCAAAAGTGCCCAAATAATGCTGCTGGGAATGTTTAATTCCCAAAATAAGGATGTCAGTCGATTATTTCCCCAAATGGGGTGAATGCTATAGGGTTGGATGTATTGCTTTGGATCTCTCGGCGTCTTCAGGGGTGTTGGATTCGTTCAAGGATCTCTCGCCGTCTTCAACACAAAATTTTCCATGTAGGTGGATATCTCGGCATCTTCCATGCAGGGAATGCTCGGCGTCTTTAAGCATGGCAATACTGAATGCTAGGCGGTCTTCCATGTAGGGAATGCTCGGCAACAACAGCTGCTCACCCCTAGCACATGCAACAGATATCATATCTCATTTCAGCATTCAAACTGCAGCAGCCAAATACCTCCTCCCAAAGCTAAGCCTTTGTCATCCGACCGACCAATTCTACAAATTATGCAATGAGGACCCTCATTGGAGCAGCTCCAAGCTCGACATCCCTCTCCATTCTCTCCGACAGAAGAACAGAAACCAGACAACCACTATTGCCCTCCATTGCTTTACCATTCAAACCAACTTTTATCAAGATCCAACCACCTAGAAGCTTGCATGGGGGTCTACTGCTACTGTCATCAGTTCTCCCTACTGGTTTCGTCGAAGCTTTATCGTACGAGGAAGCCTTGCAACAGACTACGGGGTCCCCTTCCTCATTGGAAGTAGATCCAAGTTGGATCCTTGATTCTGTCCTCGATTTTGCAACTGAGAATCCCACGGTTGTGGCTGGTGGAGCTATTGTTTTGGCAGTTCCATTGATTTTGTCTCAGCTGTTGAAGAATCCAAAGCCATGGGGAATTGAGCCCGCAAAGAATGTTGCACATGCAACAACAGCACATGCAACAACAACTTTCTCTGCTCACCCCCGTGATTTCCCACGTCTAGACCCACATGCAGAGCTCCCACATGCAACAGTAGTAGCACCTCAGGCAGCAGCACTGTCGCAGCTCGTAAATGCAGCAGGGGCAGTTTCAGTTTCGCAGCAAAGTTGAAGACGCCGAGAGATCCTTGAACGAATCCAACACCCCTAAAGACTCCAAGAGATCCAAAGCAATGCATGTAATCCTGTAACATTCACCCCATTTGGGGAAATAATCAACTGACATCCTTATTTTGGGAATTAAACATTCCAACATCATTATTTGGGCACTTTTGCCCAAAGTTAGCTAGTAGCTTTATTCTTCATGGTTTAAATTTATAGCTTATCATCCTATTTTTAATATATATTTATAGTTTAAATTCTCTATTTTAATGAATGAATTTATAATTTATAATTTTTAATACAAATATATATTATATAAACATGTAAATATAACTACTGACGGAGTCGATAAAGAAAGTTAACATCTAAAAAATCTCTTATATAAATATTATATATAATATAGAAAATGACATTACCTTTAGATTATTCTATATAAATTTATTTAGATATCTTAAATTATGATACCGTAATTTATAATTTTTAATTGAGACAATTGCATCATATGTCCCCAAGTTATAACCCTAATTTTAAATTGATTCTTAAACTTTTGAATTTTTCAAACTCATCCCTAAACTATGACTCTCATTTTAAATTAGTCCTTAAACTTCTGAATATTTTAATTTCATCCCTAAACTATGATCCTCTTTCTAAAGTAGTCCCCAAACTTTTGAATATTCCAATTCCATCCCCAAATATGTAATTAGTTTCAACCATAATTTAACCTAAATTTTATTTTTTATAAAACATATATAATAATATAATTTGGCCTATCGGTATTATTAGCTAGATATGTGATTAGTGTATATGTATAATTTGGGATGAAATTGGAATTTCAAAAGTTTGGGGACTACTTTAGAATAAAATTCATAGTTTTGGGATGAAATTAAAATGTTAAAACGTTTAAGGACTAATTTAGAATGATAATTATAATTTAGGGATGTAATTGGAATATTTAAAAATTTAGAGTTCAATTAAAAATAAAAAGCATAGTTTGAGGACATATGATACAATCAACTCTTTCTAACTTCGTTTCTGAATATAACTCAATCATGTGTGTAAATAAAAGAAAGAAATATAGTATAATTAATTATGTTCAATAGCTTAAATTTCGAGTTATGTACAAATAATAAATAAAATGTGCAATTATGGTAACCATTAATTTCTAAGACTACCATTGTTGAGGTAAATCTGACATTTCAGTTTAACTTACTTTAGTTTACCCTCATAATTATTTCAGGGTAACGACAGCTTGGGTCCTTAGCTCAGTGGTAGAGCATTTGACTGCAGATCAAGAGGTCACCGGTTCGAACCCGGTAGGGCCCTTGTTATTTTTTCCCCAATCTTTCTCAAACGGCAGCGTTTTACATTAATTTCGGGCCTTAATGGACAACAAACTGCCTGATGACTACAAATTAGGCTCACAGTTGCAGGCCATAAACCTGCTTACACTGTCAAAGTCTATTATTAAATTTCTATGGCTTATGGGCGTTGATTGAATTTTTCACCCTTAAAATCTTTTCTAAGATTGATATCAATTAAATCATGAGTAGAATGACAAAAATATTATATTAAATTTTGTTGTATATCAATTTCGAATTTAAAATTCAGATAATTTTATTTGTTTTCCTTATAAATATCAAAATTCAAGTTTTATCAATTATTGTATCCGATGGATACATTACTTTGGGAGTCAGCTCTTTATAAGGCATGAACTCCAAAGCATGCCTTAATCCTGAATTAGCAAAACAAAGGTGTGTGTTCTATTCTTAGTGCAGGTGGTGAGCTCCTAAGGGATCGTATTTGATCCAATGTTGATTGGCTTTCAATGAAAGAATCCAGGGTCCATTATTTATTGCTTCTATAACGAGCAAGTTGTTTGTCCATTCGATTATATGATCTTGACTTAAATGTATCATTGTCCCTTAAATTATACTATTTTTATCGAGTTGCCCCTTAAAGTGTTTTTTAGGACGTTTTGCCCCCTAAAGTATAAATTGTTACTTCATTTGTCCCAAAACGTTAAATCCGTCAAAAAAACATGCGGGTATATTACATATTTAGTCACTCCACTATTTATGCAGTTCTATTTGAGTTACCCAACTTTTTCTTCTTCAAAATCATCACTAAACTTAAGTTTTTGTTACGTTTTGGCCACCCAATTTGATTCAATTTACTTTTTAAAATTTTAATTTATAAGAATTCATTTATATTATATTTTTTACCCGACTCATAAATTTAAAATAAGTAATATTATAAGATAAATAATAAACAATATATTAAATTATATGTAATTAAAATTCTATTAAATGAAATATTAATTATTTATTTAAAATATCATAAACGATAATTACACAACGTATGAAGAAACATTGATCACCCACCTAGTTTAGCAATTTTTGGAGAAATGATAAAAAAATATATATTTTTTCACACCAGAAAAATGGTTAGTCGCGTCACTTCCGGTAAAAAGAATATTGTGCTTAAGTAGACCTACTCAACAAGGATTGGGGTAGTAGTCTCCTAATCTCATGCACCCAAACTATTTTCTTATCATTCTCACATACATCATTAACAACACTATAAAAAAATTATGAGTATAAAATATAAAAATCATTTTTTTTAAGTTATGAGATTTGATTTTGAAATAAAAATATATTAATTATATTTTAAAAAATTTAAATTTACATATTTTTCGAGTGTTTTTATGAATCCAAACAAAATGAAACTCATCGTTTTCCTCTTATTTCTTTCTTGGCATTCCTTCCTCATATTTTCCTGACCTTCACTGTCGCTTGCACTGTCTACACCGCCATCGATCGGTGTCTTTAAGCTTTTTTTAAAAACTTTCTTCGTTGGAGGTATTTTTATTTTTATTGGTTTAGTTTTTTTTCCCAAATATTTTCTCTTTTATTTTAATTGTTTGAAAAACTAGATTTTGCTATGAGAAATCACTTGCAAAAGTCCCGATTCTAGTTTGTTTGGGATGGATTTCTTTAGACTTTGGATGCAATTTTAATAGCTATTTTTTTGCTTAAATTTTGGTTTGGTTTCAACTTTTTTTTTGTTGTTGTCTATTTATTATTTATTATTTATGTTACATATTATTTGTGTTATATATAACTTAATATATTATTTATTATTCATTGTATAATAGTACTTATTACTGAAAAATAAATTTATGTGTCGAGTAAAAAAATAATATAAGCGAATTCTTATGCATTAAATATTTTAAAAATAAATTGAATCAATTTGGGTGACCAAAACGTAACAAAAACTTAAGTTTAGTGATGCTTTTGAAGAAAAAAAGTTGGGTAACTCAAACAGAACCACATAAATAGTGGAGTGACTAAATATGTAATTTACCCACATGTTTTTTGACGGAGTTAATGGTTTGGGGCAAATGAGGTAGCGATTTATACTTTAGGGGTCAAAACATCCCGAAAAATACTTTAAGGGATAACTCAGTAAAAACGAAATAGTTTAGGGGGCAATGGTGCATTTAATCCTATGATCTTTACAGAATTGTTCATCCTCAGTTTTGTATCAAGCCTCCTACTTTTGGTAAGCTCATCCTTCATAGACAGCAGGATAGATATTAACATGGATGAACATAAGGTGATTTGCGTAAAACCTTAAGTCTGTTCTCAGATATTAACCATTTCAATACATCCTATAATACGTTGGCTTATAGTTAGTGTATAAAAACCTATTATGCTTTCAATTTTTCTACTGTAGACATGTATCAATTCATTATCGGACATATAATTGGTGTATAAAATATGTTATATAATACGTTGGCTTGCACTTGGCGTATAATATCCAATTGTGTTTTCAAATAGAATTATAATTAAGGGTCAATACAATATGTTTTAAAGTTTAGAAACCAATTCAAAATGACTGTTATAGTTTTGAAACATCATTTATAATTATCATTTTAATCAAAAACCGTCACGATTTCTTAATATATTGGATAAGAATTAATTGTATAGAGGATTCTCAAACTATTATTCCTATTCTAGATTCATCCTTAGATTTTTTAAATATCTTACTTCAATCTTTAAATTATTAGTATCATTTCAATCGAATCCGCTATCACTTTCTTCATTTTTTTCTTCAGGTTATGTCAGCTACACGTGTCTCAATCGTACTCGAATTACTGGGTTCTGACATAAGGTCAGTACAACCAATATTGATGGTGTTAGGACCTTTTTGATGTTATGAATGAAACAAATTAAATTATAAATATTTGTTTTCATAATAAATCTTTACAGTATTCAAATATAGATTAGAAGGTCAGTAAATCGAGTATCGACAACTATAAAAAAGTGGGAAAATTATTCAAATAATACTTTTATGCATTTAAATGAAAGCAACTCAAAAATTAAAAATAATGACAACAACATGTCGCTTCAAAATGTTTAGGACCCAACTTTTGTTTAACTTATTTTGTTTGTCAAAAATTTAGCTGACAATTCGGATCAAAGCCCACTATTTACTCCCTAATCATTGGAAGTGCAAAAATCCAAACAGGGTTAGGCTCAAGAGAAATTTAATTCAATATTCTGATTCTTTTAAAATTTAAAAATTAATTTAATTTCAACTACATATTAAATACAGTTAATATCAATTTAAGAAAAAAAATAAAAACTAATTTTTTTGTTTTTTTAAATAAACAAATATATTTTCAAATCAATGATAGAGTTTACATTTTTTAAATTGTCCATTAAATATATTTTTATTTTTTTGAAAAAAAACAGAGAAGAAATTATATTATTATTTTTGAACAAATATGCCTAATTCATTAACGGGAATTTAGTTAATTCGATTTTCCAAAGCATAACGAGAATTGACTACCACATGGGAAAATAATCTGCGTTCAACTCTATTCCCGCCCACTAATCACGGCAAGAGTAGACTCAGTCCAGCCATCCACCAGATATACTTGTATAGTATTCCCTCTCCGGTTCGTGTCCCATTTTTTCAAAAATATTTTTAATTACATATTATGATTTATTTTAATAAGATATCCAAATAAAATTTAAGAATTAAATCATAATATTGTGAAGAAAAAATAAATTAAAAATATTAATCTCTTAATAGATTTTATAATATTTAATTAAATTAATGAATAATTTATTTGTGGAATATAAAATCCAAGATTTGTGGACACCTGTAAACAAAAGTATTTTGAGGCACGAGTAGGCACCATCAAAGAAATGAATTCTTCTTGCTTACGAGAAAACCTAGAAAGCTTAACTGGGTCACCGTAGGGCTCCACATGACCACTGTCGCTAACATAAAGTAGGGTTCGTGTCAATTTCTAATACGAAAAATTATCCGTGCCGTGTTTGTTGATTTTTCAAGCCCCACTGCCAAGCCCAAACCAACTATAAAAACACCCCTTCCTCTTACATCGAACAAGCCACAAAGTTGCTAAAAACACAGCAAAATCTTAGGTTTTTTGTCGGTCCATTACAATCCCATGGCTTCCAAGAGATTAGCTGTCCTTGCTCTTGCATTGCTCGCCTTCAATTTGCAAGCCACCCTTGGTTAATTTTCAAAATCAGTTTTTTGCTCCCTAATTACGTTAATTTTGTGTTATAATTTGATGGGTTATAACTACTTATTTTGTTTTGTTTGTAGGGGAAATAACATGTGAACACCTTGACCAGGACACCTGCGCCTACGCCGTGGCATCCACGGGCAAGCGCTGTGTGCTAGAGAAGCACGTCAAGAGGAGCGGAGAAGAAGAATACACTTGCCGCACGTCTAAAATCGAAGCCGATAAGATCAGGAACTGGATCGAGACCGACCAGTGCGTTAAAGCCTGCGGCATCGACCGGAATTCATTCGGCATATCGTCAGATTCGCTCCTCGAGTCTCGCTTCACGGAAATGCTTTGCTCCCCTCAATGCTACAACGGCTGCCCCAACGTCGTCGATCTTTACTTCAACCTCGCCGCTGGAGAAGGTATGATATTAGTATTAATTGTATCAAACGTCCTTATGACCGGGATTTAAAATGTTTGTCTTCTTGGTAGGTGTTTTTCTTCCGAAACTATGCGAGGCACAACAAGGAAATGTGCGCAGAGGAATGTCAGAGATCCGAAGCTCGGGTTTGGTTGCACCGGGACCCGTTGGCGGTGTGGAGTTCATGGGAGTTGCCCCAGCATTTCCGCCGTACTAAAACTATGATTGAACGGACATTTTCACGGAGTTGTAGTAGTATAAAATAAATGAAAGTTGCACTAGCTAGGGTGGTTTCGCGAGCCGGGTTCAAGTGCTCGGACCAGCGTCATTTGGTTCGTGCATGTTGTGATCCATGAGCGTGGTGTGTTCAATCCAATAAGATGCTACTTTCTAAGATAGTTTTGCTTATTGTAATGGGTGTGACAAAAACATAATTATCAAGTTTATAAATATACTTATATTTACGTTATTACTTTCAACTTTCCATTTCTACGAATTATTATCAAGTACGATGATAGTGAAAATATTTTATTACGAGTGAAGTAATAAATAAATTTAAGAATCATATTTTCGCTGCCCAATTATCGTGCATAAAAACCCCTCCTTCCATCTAATTCTTAAAAATTTAAGTGTAAAGTAAACAAATGGTATCTCACTATAGGATATTATTTTGTTGAATCTCCTAACTATTAAAAAAATACAAAGTGTCTTCCGACTGTAGGGAGTTGCTTTGTTGAGTTATTCGGCCATTAAAAGTTACAAAAATAGTCACTCGATTATTTATTATGTTCTAAACTCGTCATTTTTCAGTTAAAAAATTAACGGCATTTTGAATTGGACGTTAACCTGTTGACTGAGATATGATAAAATTCGATCACATAATCTCAAACGACTATCATATCTTAATCAGTAATTTAGCGTCCAACTCAGAATGTCGTTAATTTTTTTAACGAAAAATGATGAGTTTGGAAAATAATAAATAGTAGAGTGACTATTTTTTTAACTTTTAATAATTATGGGACTCAACAAAATAATATCCTATAGTCGGGAGACTATTTGTGTACTCTGTACCCTATATATTTAATAAAGCAGTGTGATCTCTAAGCAAAAGACAATAGACACGTAGGATATGTTATTTTGAAAAATCCTTTGTTTCCAACAAGATTACATTATGGTATTACTTGATCATCCTGATAAGCTGCTGGTGGAGAGAATTCGAACCAGGGCAAACGATGCTTCTGCGATCCGAACTGCCAAAGATACGTGAAGATTGCGAAGTAGCAGGATTAGTAACTTTGATGGTGACATGCATTTCCATGATCTGTCATCTATAGTGGTATTATCTCGAAAATACGATACATTATATAAAGTTATACTGTTTGTAGGATTGATTTAATAATATAATAAATTAAAAAAATTTGATATTTAAATTGTAAAATTATATCTCTATAATTTGTTGGGAGATACGAGACACCATCGTGTCGCACCCGTCTTTCGGTTGGGCCCCGTAATTGAGCTTCGACTTGAAAAATGTGGATTGGAGTCGCCACATATCATTTATTTAAAAATAAATGGGTTGATCGGATACCCTATTTCTTACCTGATATGCGTCTTACCAGAAATATGTCGGGCTCGGGAGTCGGTTACGGTCAAGGAAGGATTAGCACCCTTGAACCGCCCTTTCGGTACTACGTAATTTCCAGTTGTCTTAATTAAGAAAAATAACAAGTTAAATTAAAAGGTAAAGTTTCGATCCTAATTACTTACCCTTGATTGATTTGAAAAAAAAATCGAGAAATGTGTTAGATAAACAAGGTAAAGAAAACAAATAAGATACAAGAGAAAAATAAAATAAATAAAATAATAAGTAAGATAAAAAAAAATAGTAAAGTAGTAATATTTGAAAAAAGGAAAAAGAAATATAAATATATATATATATATATATATATCAAAGTATTAATAAAATAAATAAGCTGTATATGTACATCAAATACTTAAAAATAGAAAAGTTACCCTCCCAATTCATCGAAAGTGGGGGCTTTAGTAAGAAATAAGACAAAAAATGGGCCCTCTAGGTTAGTAGTATATAATATAATGTTTAATAATAATAATGATAAAGACACAAGGTTTTTTTTTTTAAAAAAATAATATAATAATAATGAATAAAAAAAACGAAAATAATAAAAAAATATAAATATATAAAGTTATAAGATATATTACATAAATAAAGAAATAATCAAATAAAATAATTAAGAATATATATTTAATAATATGTATATAAATAAACTATTAAAAGTATAAAAAATACATACGACTAGATAAAGATAATTATAATATATATAGTAATATTAGACTTATAAATAAAATATTGAAGAAATATATATATAATAATAATAAAAAAAAATATAGTAAAAAAATCAAATGAAAATAATTTAATATATATATATATATATAATAACATGAATAATAAAAAAATGAATAAAATATCCATATAATAAATAAAGAGACTAATATAGATTTTTAAAAAACTCTTCCCCTCCTTTAACCGAAAATCAAATCGGTTTTTAAAAATAAGCCTCGGGGTAGATCTAGGTTCGAAACATCGAAACCCCACCCATTTTGGTCATCGGCGCAACCCATGTTTTGGGTTATTCGAACCAAATTTCAAGAAAAATAACGTGCACATTCAAAAGAAAGAAAAAAGAAAATGCTACCTTTTATTTCCTTTTCGAATCCTTTACAATAGCTTTGCCTTTGTATCTTCCCGTGCTTTCCTATGTGTTTTGTGTGTAAATCGTGTGTTACAATGGTGAGTTACAATGGCTATTTATAGTGCTTGTGGATCCTATCTTTAGGAATTTAAATCTTAGTAGAACTCTATCCTATTTTTAGGAGTTTGAATCCTAGCAAAATTTTATCCTATTTTTAGGAGTCTGAATTCTAGTAGGACGAAAATGTGTGTTGACAGCTGCCCCTCTTTGCCCATAGTCGTGTAACGGGGATAGGGCAAAGATTAAAAGACACACTTTTCGTTCAGTGGAGTTGAAAATTAACTCTGATGTTTCAATAACTCCCTGTCGAATTGAGTTACGGATGACTCCTCCATCGTGAAGTCGAGTTCATCTTGAAATGATATGAAATTGAAGCCGTAGTTCAGAATTTGAATGAGCACGTGGCTTCCCATTACCCTTCGGTCTTCTTCTCGGTTTAAAGACCTTGGATCGGAATCGAACTCAGAAATCTTCATTGACAGATAGCTTTTTCTTGACTTAAGCTATGTTGTTTGAAAATAGTTGCTTGTCACTGAGGCACGGCTAACCCAGGTCATCTTCTCGACTTGAAAACCTCGACTGCAACCGGAAAGTAGTGCGATTGATGTGTCATCGAGCTGAATGGAGTCGAACTCGATAATTTTGATGGCAGATAATCCTTCTTTGAGTTGGATATCCTTCGTCGTGAAGTTGAAATCCAAGTAAGTAGCATTGTTCCGAGTCCAATATCCTCCGTCGTGAAGTTGAAATTGGCTCTGGAACCGGGAAATTGTTTGTTGACAACCAGCCGTCCCTTCGTTGTGAAGTTGAACTTGTGTTGTCTCGAGTCCAATATCCTTCGCTGTGAAGTTAAAATTGACTCTGAATGAAATTTTGTTGACAAGCAGCGGTCCCTTCGTCGTGGAGTTGAACTTGCGTTGTCTGGAGTCTAATATCATTCGTTGTGAAGTTGAAATTGGCTCTGAAATTGAGAAGTTGTTGTTGACAAGCAGCGGTCCCTTCGTCGTGAAGTTAAACTTGCGTTGTCTGGAATGGCACGATATCCTCCGTCGTGGAGTTGAAATCGCGGATGAAACTGAAAAGTTGTTCGTTGACAACCAGCCGTCCCTTCGTTGTGAAGTTGAACTTGTGTTGTCTCGGGTAGCACGATATCCTCCGTCGTGGAGTTGAAATCGGCTCTGGAATTGGGAAATTGTTTGTTGACAACCAGCCGTCCCTTCGCTGTGAAGTTGAACTTGTGTTGTCTCGAGTCCAATATCCTTCGCTGTGAAGTTGAGATTGGCTCCGAAATTGCTTGTCGACAGTCAGCCGCCCCTTCGCTGTGAAGTTGAGCTTGTGCTGTCTTGGGTCCAATATCCTTCGCTGTGAAGTTGAAACCGTGGAGACCCCTTTATTGTGAAGTTTGGCTTCGAGCTAGATATCCTTCGTCGTGAAGTTGAAATCCACTCTCGAGCAAATTGTGTCGCTTTGAGTTCAATATCCTTCGCCGCGAAGTTGAAATTGACTCTAGCTAAAACCTGAAAAAGTTATGCATATATGTGATGCTATGTATGCAATGCTCTTAGGTGTGCCTAAAATGTATATGCAACATATGTTATCTTGGGGCTCTGGAGAGAAATCTCGATCTCCAGTTGCCTGTCTGGAATCTTGATTCTTGAATCTTCAAATTTTGATCTCTGATCTTGAATTCTTCAAATGTTCAAATCTGATGTGCACATTCTATTTTTGATTTGAGAAATGCTTCTCGACCATCTCAAGTATGTGCCTGAGCTGAGTGTAACGGTTCAGATGATGCTTCAAAAGAAGTTGTCTTGAAAGAGATAGAATTTGTTTCAAGGGAAACGATCTCAAAGATATATGTTGTTTCATGAGAAACGGTCTCAAGGGAAACAAAATTATGTCTTAAGGGAAATAAATTTGAAGATTTTGTGTTTCAAGAGTAACTGTCTCAAGGGAGACAAAATTTGTTTCAAGAAAACATATTTAAATATTTTGTTTCAAGGGAAACTATCTCAAGAGAGACAAAATTTATTTCAAGGGAAAATGTCTCAAGAGAGACAAAATTTATTTCAAGGGAAACTGTCTCAAGAGAGACAAAATTTTGTTTCAAGGGAAATTATCTCAAGAGAGACGAAAATTTATTTCAAGGGAAATGTTTTCAATGTTTATGTTTCAAGAGAAACTGTCTCAAGGGAGACAAAATTTGTTTCAAGGGAAACTGTCTCAAGAGGGACAAAACTCTTCTAGTGAAAACGGTCTCAAGCGAGACAAATCTTGTTTTAAGAAAAACAATCATGAGTGAAATAAATCTTCTTTCGAGTAAAACAGTCCCAAGTGAGACAAAGTCTGTTTTAAAAAAGCAATCTCAAGTGAGATAATCATCTGCATTAAATGAGACTGTCTCAAGCGAGACATAATTTATATTGGAAATGTCGAATCTGAAAATGA